AAATACCATTTAAATACCTTCTTTGGAATAATTTGATTTCTTCTACTTATCAGAACTCAAGTATAATTTAACATTCACATTAGTATTGCTATCCTTTGAAGAGTTTTGAGATGTCTGTGAGTTTAATGACCCCCAAATACATTTTTAAACAAGCCTAAGTAGATAAATTCTCCAAGATTCCAAATACAGGCTTAAACCAACCTATAGCTTGGATTTTCTGTCACAATCCTTTGAAATGCTCAGAAAAAGGATTAAACAGTCACCTGTACATCCAAGCACAGTGTTTAATGTTTTCTCAGCTCTATTAGAGTTTTCAGCCTTCAAGTCTTCAGGGAGCGACTTAATTTAGTGGTCTCTGATATGTAAGCCTTTCCTTTTCGATGATAATTTCTTGTCTAATGACCTTCAAAGAGTTTTGTGGAGGCAAATGTACAGGAGGTAGATGAAATCTCAGAACGTGCACGGTAATCTACCCCAGACACAGGGGTACTGACGTCAAGGGCTGCGCGGGTCAAGTTCAGAGCCCCGGGTGAAGTTCAGGTTGACTCCCCAGATATGAGACCTGGATCAATGTCTGAAACCTCTGATGTCAGCTTGTTTAATTCTCAGTTGAACAACAAGAATTTGTCATGTGTCACTTGCTCATAAAAACAGTGCACACTTAGTCTGTCCCAAACCCAGGGCGGTAGCTTCCTGGCCGCCTGGATTCTGGGGAAGGACACATTCCCTGCGCAAGCAAGCGTGCCCGCCCACTCAGCGTGGGCGGGCCCCTGGCTCCCGCAGGAATCGGGTTCACTGAGGGAGAGAGCGCTTCAAAGCCTGGTGGCTTTCCCGAAGCTGTGGGTCTCCCGCCCAGCAGTGCAAATAGGTTGGAGGCCCCAGGGAAATAAGGAGACTCTGTCTCCACTAGAGCACACGTTCTGCATATAATTTTGTTTTAATGGGATCCAGGTGGGTGGGCAGGCGGTGTTGAGCCTGCCTGGGAGGTAGCCGCAGATGCACCTGTGTCTGGGGATGGAGCCGGTCGCTGCAGCTCGGGGGTGGTTGGAAAGAGGGTCTGCTCAAAGCTACAGGGCCTGCCGAGGGATCTGGGAGTCAGGGGACGTGGGACGGAGCAGCAGCAAGCTGAGGGGCTCCAGGCTGCTCCTGGTCCAACGCGGCTCAAAAGGGAGGTTTCTAGAACGACAGTGTGCACATGAGGGAGCAACAGGGCACACGTTCAATTCGCAGTTGGCAGGCTGTGGTGTCCCAATCATGCTTATGCACATGTGACACACACACACGACACACACCAGCAGCAGGCGATGCCTTGTTTTGTGTGCAAATGAGAGGAGCAATGGTCTCCGTAATCCCCCCAAATAGTAACACGAAACCCTCTGGGTGGTCTTTACAATGCCGCCCGCAGCTTGTCTGGTCTATTTTCCTCCCCTCCTCTCCTCTCTCTTCCTCTTCCTTCTTTCCCTCCCTTCTGGCGTCAGTTGAACACTGCAGATTCTTTCTTGCTTCTCTTAATTAGGGGCAGAGTTTGCCATTTTGAGCACAGGGTAGATGAGGAAAGGGAAACGTGGTTCCAGGAAAGGCAGGAAGTGGGCCTGGAGTTTCTGACTCCTATGTAGGTAACGAGGAGACGCGGCCCAGACGCGGCCCCACCGCTCACGTCCAGGCCCCTCCGGCCGGACCCCCATAGCTCTCGCGGCGGCGTCTGTCCTCCGGCTTCTTGGCCCCGAGGGCCCCGTTCACCCCTCGGCCCGTGGCACGCATGTCACGGGGCCCACGGCTCACTTCCCACCACTTCCCTTTTACCAGAATCCGAAGCGCAGAGAAGGCGGACACGAAAGGTGCGGAGTCCTGCTCCTGAGGAAAGAGCCAGCGCAGCCGCAGAGGTTTGGTCCCAAAGCAACAACAGCCCGGGAGGATCAGTGCGGGTGGGGAACAGGGGCAAGAACTGGGGCTTGAACACAGACAGAGCTGGGGCCGAATCCTCCTGTTGCCACCTGCCAGCTGGGCAACCTGGGCAAAACGCGTGACTTCTCCCAGTCTCAATGTCCTCGTCTGCACAGCAAACACACTGTCACGCGAGACTGTGCACAGCAAGGCCGGGCGTGGGGTGTGACCCTACACCAGGTCTGTGCCTGGCAAGATGGAGGCGCCAGAGATGGGCCAGATACCCAACTGCTGCCCCAGAGGCTTACGTCCTAGTTAGAAAGCCTACGTAGACATCTGTCACCATCCCAGTGCCTCACCTTCCTCATCTATAACGTGCGGACAACAACACCTACTTCACAAGATCAAGTGATGCATATGTAAAGCATTTAGAACAGGACGGGCACATTGTCATACTTGAAAAGGTATTTTGTGAGGATGGTTGAGAGGAGGGTTAACATTTTGTGACAAAAACTAGAAGTTATTTTACAGAGACGGGGACAGTGACGGGAGCTGGAAGGAGCCTGGTGCTGAAGGGCCTTTGGGGCGGAAGGGAGGACGAGAATGGAGGGGCGGAGGCGGGACTGGGGAGGGGGCTCAGGCGCGAGTCGATCACTCCCTTTTGGCGGCAGCATGGGACCACCGAGGGTGCTAGTGGAAGTTCAGGGAGGCGTTTTGAGAATCCCAAAGTGCTGAGTGAAAATGTCTGCTTCACTGTGTAGGCACATGTGGAGACCACAGCTGGGGGAATAATCTGACTCGAGGTATTCACTGGGAAAATCAGCGTGGCCAGGAAGAAGGGAAAATCTGGATTTCCATCAGTACTGCAGACGAGCAGCCAGAGGTGCTTCATTAATTTACTCAGCACGTATTTCTTTGTTACCCGGGAGGAGGCCCCCACCCTAGGCAGCGGTGCGGAGCGGTGAACCAGACAGAGTCTGTCCTCTGGGAGGCTGGAGCCGAGGGAGAGAGCAAGACAGAGGGGCGCTCTCACTGCATCGCTTAAAACCGCTGAAGGAAGCTACCGGGTGTGCGGGAGGGGCGAGCAGAAGGGGCCAGGGGTGGCTTCCCTGCAGGAGCGACGGGCAGCCCGAGATCTGCAGGATGAGGAGTCCGCCTCGCTGAAGGACAAGGGCCAAACTGCATTCGGGCGGGGTGACAAGGTCCTCTGTACCTTGTAGAAAGGAGTTTCTGGCTTCAGTGTGGAAAATGGACGGGAAAGAGGGCGACAGCAGATTGGGTTGGACCATCTGTGAAGTTGTAGCAGGAGTCACATCGAAAGACGACTTGACTTCCGGTGGTGGGCACACAATGCAGTATCATGTGTCATAGAAATGAAACCTATGTGATCTTATTAACCAGCATCACCCCAACACATTTAATAAAAAAGAATAAATTTAAATATATAGTTCAAACCTCCGAGAGAAAGAGAGGAGAGAGAGAGGTGATTTTTGAGTACTTCCTGCGATGACACCATTACACACAAAGCATGATGAATCTCACAGACCAGAGAAGCCAGACACGAAGGAGAACATACGTGTGATTCCATTTATATGAAGTTCAAGAATGGAGTAGTCATTAAATGCCCTAATCTGGGGTGAGAGATTACAGAGTAGTGGCTACAAGGGTCGGGGCGTTTGACTGGGAGGCTCATGAGGAAGGCTTTCGGCCGGTTAGAAATGATTTCTGTTTATATCTTTACCTACCTTTCGCAGGTAGGCAATTCTACCTACTAATTCACGCCTGCTTTGTAGGTGTAATTTGTGTGCCATGGAAATGATATTTTGAGCATAAACTCCGTAGAGTATAAAAATACCTTTTTTAAAGTGAACATTTTTGTGACTATCGTGGTGGGTGCGATGTTTATATAGCGTGATGTTCCTTAAGGACATCGTGGAATCCTATCCGCCTCGCCTCTGTGCATACCCATTGCCTTTGCTCTTTTATCCGACAGCAAACATTACCATACCGCCATCAATGCTAGTTGAACACACGAAAAGGAATTCTTAAAACTATAGTTGGCTAACTCTTCTAGTAACAAGCGGAGCCCACAGTTTCTCAGGTGGAATCAGGGGAAATTGAACAGGCACCAGGCATTTGTATGTCTCTCTTGGCTGCTTAACACGGTCAGTCAGCAAAATCCTGTTCAGTGGTTAGGCCCCCAAGTGTTAAACAGACTGTATTTCAATGGGAATAAAAAGGAAATTGCAAATAGAACAGAAACTGGTTGTGTTATGTGCAGAAAGGCTAGAATTCTCAGAAAGGAAGCATAGAATTTTATTTTTTTTATTTTGTCTTTTTTGTTTTTACAGGAAGTTTCCGGAAATCCATATTGCGAGGCCTCGCCGGATTTAAGAGGATACGGTCTTTGGCGTATTGGGGGGAGGGCATCATGTCAGCATGTGCTGCGACCTCCCCGCTGTGTGCATTCCACCTGCAAACTGTCTGGCGTGATATAAGGCACGCGGCATATTCCGGACAGCTATCTCTGAATAATACTTACATTAACCATCATTTTTATGAACACTTTTTAAAAATGCAGCAGGCATTGTGCTAAACATTTGGAATGTCTTGGCTCACCTACTTCCGATAATTAACTTTGAAGGAGGGGTTTTAGGTATTTAAGTATACTTCTTTTATGGGGGAGAAAAATACAGCTCAGACTAGGAGGACCAATCACACACGTTTTCCCAGGATGTGGGACTCTCAGCGCTTGTACCTGGGAAGAAAGTCCTGGGCAAACTGGGTGAGTTAGTCACCTCATAAATGTGCCTTGTTTTGATTTTTCATCAGGGTAGAAGGATTTAAACCTCTTCTCCGCTTGGCTGGTCATATTTCCTATCAGTCTCCAGCCCCGCGTAATAGTTAAACAGGAAAGACATCCTTTGGCAGCGTCCCTGGGGCAAGGGATCTAGGTTTAAACTGGGAATATTATTTCACATGATGTAATTGCAAATGTCATCTTGCCTCTTTCTGTCCCTGAGCCGCTGAGTGAGTGAGGCAGAGCCCCCTTTACAACGTTTCCAAAGGGCTTGTACGTCACCGTAGTCGGACATTCTGCGTGAAAACCCACTCACCTTGGGAAGAGGGTAGAGGTGACACAAGGCTTGGCCAGGCTCCGGTTGACAAAACTCCAGGGCGTGGCACACCACATCCGCATTCATATCAGCATCAAGACTGGAGGGAAAGGGGAAAAACAGGCTCGTAAGATCTCGGGGGCATTAGAAAAATAGAAACTATTTCACAGGCCGGGAACTCCCAGAACGGATTCTAATTCCCTCAACTCCTTGCACCAAGGCCTCTGAGTTCAGTCCTGGGGATGCCGGGGGCTAAGGACCTGCTGCCCACGCTGCCGCCCGATTCTCACCTGCATTTAGAATAAGGCCTTGGGGGCAGGGTGGGGCTTGAGCAGCCCCAGCCAGCCCTGTGCTGGCTTCCCACCTTCCCACCGGAGCGGGAGGTTCTTTTCAGCAGAAGCCACAAATAAAACTGGGAACGGAAAATGGACAGGGGTATCATTTCATGGGAACAATATTTTAAAGTTTACTGGGCCTTAGAGCAGAAAATCATTTATGATACAGCCTTAAACTCTTAGAATTATTTTCTTTGGCATAATCCAAATCATCTCTTCCCTTTAAAGTAAATATTTCTTTGCCTTATGGAAGAAAATACAATTGAGTTGACTTTTTGCCCTGGGGATGGTGCAAGACTTGTATCCCTCAAATATTTTGGTTTCTGTCTATGTTGGACGGGGCTAAAACAAACATTCCATATCCATTTTCTGACTGACACCTCTTCTTACCAAGAAGAATGAGTATAGTGTGTTGCTTCCAAGGAAGGAGCAGGAAAGTAAGGACTCGTAGTCACTTTTCCAAGGAAATTACCCATTCAAACCCAACCCAAACCACACCAAAACAACAGAAACAAAGAAACCAGAAACACCCAAGAGTCAGGAAGCCTGGGGATGAGGGGACTGAAGGGAAGGTAATTCCACGCAGGACCTTCGCATCATCAGCACAGGCTGGCTGTCCGGGCAGGGACGGGACACCCTCCCTGAGGGGAATTTGTTTTATCACACTCCTCTCAAACGGAGATGCCTTTGCTTGGAGTTAGGACAGTGAAAAAACAGGATAAACACTCGGAATTCTCTCTGGTTCTGCACTTTTATGACCTGAGCACCCAGTGGGGACAGAAGGGAGGGGCTGGAGCAGGTTGGGGAGCTCAGGGGAAAGGGTCAAAGGCCTGTGTCCAGCCAATGGAATCCCAGTCATTTACTGGAATGTCACCAGACATTACTCCTGAAAGGCTCTTGGAGAGAAATTGAGCCAGATGGTCACACAGTGATCCAAGGGGATCCTTGACCTAGAGTGACAAAGGATCTGAGTCCGCTCTGACTTTTCACTGTTGACAAGAATCGGGATACCCCAGGCAAGCCCTTGTTTTGAAATACTTCCGGTGGAAGCAGAGCAGGCTGCTCCACCCCGCACCCCCTTTTACTGTTCTCCGCCACATCCCAGCCAAGGAATCGGGTCGATGTGCCAAAATACTCACAGCTTTATGATGTCTGGTCCAAGCGTGCGAATGACTAAGTAGCAGGTGTCTTTTAAGAACAGTTTTTCTAAGAAAAACAAAGAGGGGAAATGGAATATTTTTTAGTAGGATGACTTTAACACATGAGTTAATAATGATGATCATCTTTCCGAGGAACTGAAGCTGAGTGATTCATTGATCATTAATTCAAGTCATTAATTTTAAGGGTTTGGGGGACACGTTACAGTTAATGTAGCCATTAAAATAGCATTTCCATCTCGGGTTTGTGTGAATGCCAGTTTGTGTACTGCACATGCGAAAGATTGCCTGTTTATTTTAAAAGTGCAGTTGAATTCTGGGGTTTTATTTTATTTTTTTTATAGCTGTGCACATCTGAATGTTGGTGATCTCAGTTGCTGGCGTTGAAAGAAGCAGGCCTCGCTTTAAAGTAAATACTCTGAAATACGGCTTTGTTGAAAATATTCTCTGGTGTTCCTATGAGGAAAAGAGACTTCGCTTTGACTACTTGGCTTTGGCTGGTGGTGTTTCAGAGAAAAAGGAGACTAAGGGTCACAGGGGGCCTTGCCCTGCCACCCACGCCAGGGAACACACACATGCACACACACACACGCGCGCGCGCACACTCCGCTCCCCCGTGAGGGGAGGACAGGCGCGCTCTGTGCATTGACCTGTTTGCGCAGTGAAATGTGTTGCCTCCCTGCTCCTGTGCCCCAGTCTATGGGTTTATTGTGGGACCCTGGTAATTCCACGCAGGACCTTCGCATCATCAGCACAGGCTGGCTGTCCGGGCAGGGACGGGACACCCTCCCTGAGGGGAATTTGTTTTATCACACTCCTCTCAAACGGAGATGCCTTTGCTTGGAGTTAGGACAGTGAAAAAACAGGATAAACACTCGGAACTCTCTCTGGTTCTGAACTTTTATGCAGTGGTAAATAACACCAATATTACTTTTACATTGAAAGAGGTATAGTCATAGAACTTTTCTTTTTTACAATAAGGCATGAGACTTCAAACACATTGGGCTTTAGAAGTAGGAAGGTAAAACTGTATCCCCGCATTACTTTTGACCTTACAGAAATTACAAAAAAATATGAGAGAATTCTATGAGCATCGCCATGACAACAAATTCGGTAACTTAGATGAAATGGAAAAATTCCTAGAAAGACTAACTGCTGAAACTGACACAAGAATAAATAGATACTCTGAATAGACATATGACAAGAGATTAGATTAGTTATCAAAAGTTTCTGCAAAAAGAAGCTCAGGCCCAGATGGCTTCACTGGTGAATTGTACCAACTTTTTCTTTTTCTTTTTTTTAAAGACTTCATTTTTTTTTCTTCTCCATATTTTATTTTTTAAAAAGATTATGTTTAAGACTGAGGAAAGAAGGAGAAGGAGAGGGGGAGAAACATCAATGTGCGGTTGCCTCTGCTGCACCCTGTACCTGGGACCTGGCCCACAACCCAGGCATGTGTCCTGACTGGGAATCAAACCCACGACCCTTTGGTTTTCAGGCCGGCACTCAATCCACTGAGCCACACCATCCAGGGCTGTACCAACTATTTCAATAAATCATCTGAACAGACAGTTTCCCAAAGAATATATACAAATGGCCAATAAACACATGAAAAGATGCTCAGCTATTAAAGAAATGTAACCCCAAACCACAATGAGATACAACTTTACACTCACGTTGAGATGCTATAATAAGAATGACAGCTAATTAAACACGTTGAGGATGTAGAGAAACTGGAACCCTCATATCCTGCTGTGGGGATGTGAAATGGTGCGGCCATTGTAGTAAACAGCCTGGCGGCCCCTTGCATGATCAAACATGGAGCTACCATATGACCCAACACTTCCAGGTCTAGATATTTACCCAAGAGACCTGAAAACATACATCCACACAAAAGCTTGTACAGGGATCGTCATAGCAGCATAATTCAAAATACCCAAGAAGTGGCAACAGGTCATCCCAAATATCCATTAACTGATGCCTGAATGAACGAAGTGGACTCAGTTCACATACACAATGGAATGTTATTCCACATACAGAACAATGAAGTTCTGACACAGGCTACAGCAAGGGTAACCGCGACAAACAACCACGTCGAGTCCAAGAAGCCGTTATGAAAGACCGTGCCTTGTATGCTTCCGTTTATATGAAAGGCCCAGAATAGGCGAATCCATCGAGACAGACAGTAGACGGCGGTTGCTCAGGGCGTGGGAAGGATGAAATTTTGGGGAATTACAGATAAGGACTGTGGTCCCTTTTTGGTGTAATGAGAATGTTCTAAAATTGATTGTGCTGAGGGAGGCACCCCTCTGTGAATATAGTAAAAGCCGTTGAATTACACACTTCAAGTGGGCGACTTGCATGGTATGTGAATTATATCTCAATATAGCTGTTCCAAAATAACGTGTGCTCTTCTCCCTGGGTGCTCCTTCTAGGGGGCTGTGGCACAGGATGCCCAGAAGCTCTGAGCTTCCACAACTTAGAAAGGCAAGCAGGAGGGTGCCGCCTCCCTCATTACCCAACCTGGGAAGTTTGGAGCATTCGACATCATGGCGGAAGCACTTTGGAGGCGAGACTCAGATGTGGCTAATGTAGAATGAGCTTGGTCAACAGTGGAGGGATTCACCAACAAACACCAGGGTCTGTTCTGATAAACTTGCAGTGCTGCCTGAAAGGCAGACAAAATTTGTCTTCTTTCTGGTAAAACAAGAGGTGGTGTGTGTGTGTGTAGAACCTTGTTTTGCTCAAGTGGAAGCAAGGTTGTCCTCAGCCTCTGAGCAGGACCATGTGAGCTCTCAGTTTCTTCAAACGGATTCAGTAATGGTTAAGAGGGAGAGGCTGCCTGACCAGTGTGGCTCAGTGGGTTGGAGCATCGTTCCATGAACCAAAAGGTCACAGGTTCGATTCCCAGTCAGGGCACATGCCTGGTTTGCAGGTTCGATCCCCCATCCGGGCTTGTATAGGAAATGACCAGTCAGTGTTTCTCTTTCACATAAGTGTTTCTCTCTGTCTCCCTTCCTGTGTCTCTAAAATCAATTTAAAAAAGAGAGAGAGAGAGAAGCAGAGAGGGTCCTGGAGCACCGATGGCATGGCATGAGATGGCCCTCTGAGAGCTATATTCTCGACTGACACTGAACAGCGCAGAACAGAGATTATGTGCAAAGTCTCTGGAAGGAGCCAGACAGGCCCCGGCCAGCCACGATCAGGTGGCAGCCTCACTGTGGCTGACATCCCTGAAGGAAAGACTGGCACTAACATAGCACTAGTAAAACCTACGCGACAAAAAGGGTACCCAGTTAAGTTGTGCCCGTGCCCAGGAAGGTACAAGATCATTTAATTTCCAAAGAGTGAAAAAGGTGTGGAACCACATAGAAAAAAGAGTGGCCATCTCCAAGGGCGAAGAAGGGTTTGAAAAAAGAGTAAACTGCGCAGTCATCACACATGCGGCGTGTCCACAGTGGTATGTGTGAATAAAACCTGGAACATTCCGGACTGTGAGTCACCTTCTTGTTTACGGTCACTTCCTGTCTCACAGGAGCCTTTGGTGGGGGTAATTATTTTTACCCTCATTTTGTAGGAACGGACACTGAGGTTTAGAGAGCATGGTGTCATGGATACAATAAGTGGTTCAGTAAGAGTTTAAGATCTTTTACTCCAAAAGCCCACATCACTTGTATGCACGTCAACGTACTCGGGGCATTTTATTTGGTGCCTCCTGTACCCCAGGTGTGGCAGGTATTGATACACACCGACTCCTGATGAGACATTGGAAACACAGGGAGATGACCTGACCACAGAGCCAGCTTCGTGGCTGTACAGGGAGGGGCAGAAGGGGCTTTACAGTCGTTTGCATGGAAAACAATGTAATAATTAATAAATAATAATACAAGAATAAGCCGTTTTTGCGTACTCACAACAGTAAATCCACTTTTGCCCACCCCGGTATACTCTAGGCAACAAGCAGATTTTCAGGACCTGCAGAACGTGAGCAGAGTTCCCTTACTCATTTTAAGTCGGCGTGAGTTTTTTCACTACCATATTACGATATGGAGATAAGATTTTCGCACAGGTGACCTGAGAAGGCAAAGTTCTAGCAAGACTCTCCGGGCATGTGCGTCCTCTGACCCCTAGTGAGAGTGATCCCATTAATCATTTTTTCTGTTAATAAGTCTGAGCTCCTTCCAAGGTGTTTACTAATGAGCGCCAGAGGCAGAAGCAGAGAGCGGGCGAAGCTGAAGGTCGGAAACGCTTCGTACAATTCAGAAAAATTGTCTTCCTGGCCCAGAAAGGCTGACTGATGTACTGAGAGGCGGTTCTCGGAGACAGTGCTTCTGTGCTGTCTCCGCTTAGGTTATGTTTCTGTACTTGATTAGCTTTGGAGCTAAAAACGATACTGCTTCAAACGTTTGAAAACAATAATAACTATGTTAATGCGCATGATTTCACGTCCTCCGACTCCCATTTTCCCAGCTCACCAGACAGAAGGCAACACAGGGAGCAGGCAGGCACTGTGGCCTGGGATTACTGTGTTTTCTAGGCGTCCTTAGCTGGGAGACAGACAGCCTCTGCTGTCCTGTAATTCACGTGGCCATTCTGTGCACGGCTTAACACCCTCATAAAATGGAAACAAACAGTCATGCCCACCTGCCTTTCGGTCTGCCAAGTGAAAGAACCTTTCACCTGAACTGAGTACCTTATTTCCATCCAGAGTGTAAACATTAATTACTACAATGCCAATAACCCCAAATAACAGCCTTCTTCATCCTTTGAAATTCCTCCAAATTCGAAAGGTGACCTACCACTGAAAACCAACATACCCACTTTGCTTCCCTTGGTAAAACGTCAACTCCCCTTTTACCAGAACTGGCTTCCAGCCTCTCATACCTCCGCAGACTCTGAAATTTCCTGTTATGAGTCAGGAGAAGCCGAGATGGCTCCTTGAATACCAGCAATCTTGGTCTGGGTTGATTACATTTTACGAGTATTTTAGGAGGGGATAATTTAGGAAATAAGATTATTACTCAGCCTTTCAATTTTGGACACTACAAC